AAATATTAAAGAATTAGCACGAAATGAGAATAAGATCCAGAAATGAACCATATGTAAACGGCGATGCTCTGGAATGTCTTCTAACAATTGATACCACACAAAATTATAACTTCTTTGCTTATTATTACGATTTACTTTAAGTTACAATTACTATGTGGCCAAAACCTTCGATTGACTATATTACATTTGGTTTATTTTATTTCACAACATTGTGTTTCTTTTTTTTTTTGGTATATTTATTTGTTATTATATTTCAGAAAACTGTACAATACGTGCCAACAGCACTTCTATCATTGGTGTGTATGCTCTCCACCGTCATCCTCTCTGGGGTCCCGATGCAAATGAATTCAAACCAGAGCGCTGGTTGGATCCTAGCATTTCTTCATTACTTGAGAAGCCTGCCCTCTTTGCTGCCTTTGGTATTGGCAAACGAAACTGCATCGGTAATCATGTTTTATATGTTACTCTTTGTTTCTAAAATTTAAACTGTCAAACACCAAGCGGTCACCGGTGACCGCGACCTATTGTTCTTTAATTGTGTCTATAAAACCGGTACTCGACGAGTTAATTAACTTAATACTTTATTTACGGGTGTCCAAAAAAGATTATGTCCCTAAAATTGTTCATCTATTCTAAGAATGTTCGTATAGTATTAAATTGTAATAAATATATGAGTTTATTTTTGTAATGATCACACTATAGCCGGCAGGGCGTTTTCAAGTAAGACAGTGAGCTATTTATAACCGGCCTGAGGTAAGCAATGTCGCCGTAGGCCACCCGCAACACTAGCTGCGTTTTAAATCCCAAGCGTACGGCGCGTCGTGTTCTGCGCGCACCTTAAAGAGCCATCAGACCACTATAAATGGGGCCCAATAGGGTTGATGCCCGATCTGGAACTGCGGACAACTTAACGGGTTAATGGGACTCCGGTTTAAAGCAGTAGTAGGAACGGGGTAGTTTTTAGTCAGTAAGAGTTTGATACTTTCTGTCTCTCTTCACGTAAGGCGGGAGAAGTCACTGGGTGATTTTCCCTTCTTAAAACACCCTATGTGTTTTAAGTGCGTTTTCAACCCTTAAATTAAAGAATTTGGGGATGGATGCTCAAATATTTTATTTCCGTACTCTGGACTCCAGTACGGGGAAGGGTTGTAAAAAGTAAAAAAAGATAACTTAAATTTATTTTTTCAGGAAAATCGTACAGCATGCTGATGATGAAGATAGTATTAGCACACATTGTTCGACAATATCATATTTCTGGCGATATTAACAAAGTAGTATGTGAATTTGACATAGTTTTGAAACCGGTATCAGGACACCATATTGGTTTGAAATTAAGATCTTAATATTGTAAAAATAATTGTTATGTAATGCCTAGTGATGGAGATACAGAAAAGTAGAAAATAATTGTTTATTTTGTAAGTTGTTGAAATATATTCTTAAGTCATGTTCGAGTTCTTTATTGTTGTAATCTATATAGATATACTATCTACTTCCAGCTCCTATTAGTCATAGCGTGATGTTTTTTAGCCTATATCCTTCCTCAATAAATGCACTATCCAACACAAAAAGAATTATTCAAATCAGACTTGTAGTTACGGAGATTAGCGCGTTCAAATAAACAAACAAAAACCAAACTCTTCCGCTTTATATAATAGTATAAGTTATAAAAAAGAGACATATAATAAAATCGTAGAAAGGTCAAAATTGTTAATTGAAAATTTTTAAAATGAATGCTTGGGACGTCATCAATACTGAAGCCAAAAATATAGATTTAAGTATTTTTGTCTATTTGTCTGTATGTCTGGCCGGAGTAATCACAAAAAGCACTTCATGGAATTACTTCAAATTTTGCATGAATGTTACTAACAGATCGGGTCAACATATAGGCATATTATCATGCTATCATCTAGGGGGAGAAGCAATGACTCTTTATTTATCTTACGCATTCTGTGATAGCGTGTAGTCTAATGACCAGAGATCGGAGTAGATAGAGCTGTTTTTGGTACGTGTGACTTGCAGTCATAATATGAATATGCCTTTTTAACAAAACATAACATCACGCCTTTTATCCCCGAAGGGGTAGGCAGAGGTGCACACAAAAGTAACACCCACTTTTCACTATTTATATTATGAGTCCCATGTAATAGGAGGTGAGCCTATTGCCATATACCGGGCACATTTCCTGATTCCGTGCTACTATTAAGATTTTTTTTTAAAACCCAGTAATACTTTGCCCGACCCGGGAATCAAACCCAAGACCCCTTGCCTGGTAGTCACACTTGCGACCATTCGGACAATGAGGCAGTCCTTTTTAACAAAACATTTTGAAATAACCCGGAATTTAAGAAAAGTTTTGTTTGGTTATAGTAATTTATGTCCTTGACTCTTAATGGTGTATTTGTATGAATATACACTTTTATTTGTTATTGACTACCTCGTTGGCTGAATGGTCGGAAGTGCGACTACCGGGCAAGGAGTCTCGGGTTCGATTCCCGGATGGGGTAAAATATTACTGGGTTATGAACAAAAATCTCAGTAGTAGCATGGAGTCTGGAAATGTGCCCGGTATATTGCAATAGGCTCACCCCCTATTACATTGAACTCATAACACAAATAGTGAAAAGTGGGTGTTACTTCTGTGTGCACCTCTGCCTACCCCTTAGGGGATAAATGGCGTGGTGTCATGATGTTATTTGTTTACATTCTTAAAAATATAAATAAAACACCATTCATTCAGTAACATTATTTTATATTTGTAAATAAAATGTCAGAAGTTGTTGAAAGGTAAAAATGTAAGTAAACAACATGTACCGTAATTTTTTTATTAATTTAATATTAATAGTAGCCGTATAAATCATAATAAAATTAAATACGAGTCAATTGTTTTATATCTGAAAAAAATGAGTAATGAAAGGAATGAGTAAATAAATACGTCAATTTTTTTTTATAAGAGCGCTTTTCATTTAACCTTTGCAAATATTTTCTTCTCTTGCGCAAAACAGTGGAACGACAACGTCGCACACTACGCCCGTCGCGCATAGGCTCTACGACAAATAAAAAAAAATACTGGGATTAAACATTTCCGACCTTATGTTTGCGTAACAAAAAATCTTCTGCAGTACTTAACAAAACACATCCTTTGCACATTCTCTATGAAGTTAGGTAAGTCAAGTACAAGGTCTTGGCAACGTCAATGAAATGATAGCCAATGCTGTGAACATAAACCTACAATGACGTTTCCTTTGTCTTCTTGTCAATTAAATAAAAATAAATTAATTTGTATGATGTCGTGGTGGCCCGGAGGTTTAAGACGCCCTCTTCTCATGCATGAGGGTGCGGGTTCGAAACCTACCAACGGCAAGTACCAATGTGACTTTTTCCGAGTTATATGTACTTTCTAAGATTATTTAGACACCACTGACAAACGGTGAAGGAAAAACATCGTGAGGAAACCTGGACTTATAATTTCTAATTATAAGTTTGAAATCGCCAACCCGCATTGAGCAAGCGTGGTGATTAATGCTCTAACCTTCTCCGTGTGAGAAGAGGCTTTGCTCAGCAGTGGGCATTTATAGGCTGTTGATGATGATGATGATGAATTTGTATGAAGAAATTATATTTCATAGTTACCTATTGAGCGTAGGTAATTCTTCTATTTATAAACTGTGTTTTTGCCTACCCGTAACAATGTCGTTTGTTGCTTTCTAATTTAATTCAAGAACAATGGTGGGATACATATTTACCGTTACGTTTTATGATCGTCTGTTTTCGTTGTGAATGAGCAAAAAAGTGCTGTGGGAGCCTTTTCAAATAACTACTCAAACAACCAATGTCACGTCAGCGCACACGTCTTGTACATCCACGCGGAAGGCGCGTTTACGCGCCGTGGACGTCTCCGACTTAAAGCCTATTTGTTACCAATCTACAACTGTTATAGCAAATTAAAAAATACCAATATAAAGCTGACATTATAAGGAATGGCTGCATCGTTGGCCGAGTGGTCGCAAGTTGTATTAAAAAAAAAATACGACTGCCGGGCAAGGGGTCTCGGGTTCGATTCCCGGGTCTGGTATTACTGGGTTTTTTTAAAAAAAATCTCAGTAGTAGCACGGAGTCTGGAATTGTGCCCGGTATATGGCAATAGGCTCATCCCCTATTACATGGGACTCATAACATAAATAGTGAAAAGTGGGTTTTACATTGTACAGTGGCATAATGTACACCTCTGCCTACTCCTTCAGGGATAAAAAGGCGTGATGTTATGTTATGTTATTATAAAGAATCAAAATTTGCAAAGAATAAATAGTAATTCTTATCGTAAACAGAACAAAAAACCGTTTAAGTTTACAATACCTAATGGTAGAATTTGAGTACATTATTTGTTTTTAACTAAAACTCGCGGGTTACTCACGTGAAAATACTGAGAAAAGCTCTACTAGTTACGAGGTCGCCTCGGTGTTGTTACTGAGGCGAGCCTCAACGCTGGCCAGTAGGCTGCGTGACATCGCCACGACCGCGCACGCTGCTCATGAGAAAAAAACCCCTCTGTGGTTGTAGATGCTCACGAACCCTAAATTTGAAGGACAGACAACTGGTCGCCGTCCTGATATTCATTGGTAGCGCATTCCATAGCAAGATGGATTGGACGAAAAAAGAAGAGTGAAGGAAGTCAGTTCGATGTGTGGGACATTGCAACAGAAGATTATTAGAAGAACGGAGGTATTTGCTGTGGTTAGCGCTCACATACTGGAAATTTATTGTAATTAAACCAGTCAATACGCCTTTAATTTAACAAAAGTATTCAATGTACAGTTCTGTATTTTCTACGACTTTATTATATGTATGTCTCTTTTATTATATTTCTTCTATCTATATAGATTATAACAATAAAGAACTCGAATTTTACTTAAGTATATATTTCAACAACTTACAAAATAAACAACTATTTTTGTTCTTTTCTGTATCTTCATCACTAGGACACAACAATCATTTTTACAATCTTAAGATCTTAATTTCAAACCAATATGGTGTCCTGATACCGGTTTCAAAACTATGTCAAATTCACATACTACTTTGTTAATATCGCCAGAAATATGATATTGTCGAACAATGTGTGCTAGTGCTATCTTCATCATCAGCATGCTGTACGAGTTTCCTGAAAATTAAATTTAATTAATTAATTTTTTTACTCTTTACGACTCTTCCCCGTACTGGCATCTATGAGTATGGAAATAAACAATTTGAGGATCCATCCTCTTTATAAACACCCTCTTTATAAGAAGGGAAAATCACCCAATGACTTCTCCCGCCTTACGTGAAGAGAGACAGAATATCAGACTCTTACTGACTAAAAACTACCCCGTTCCTACTACTGCTTTAAACCGGAGTCCCGTTAACCCGTTAAGTTGTCCGCAGCTTCGATTCGGGCATCAACCCTATTGGGCCCCATTTATAGTGTTCTGATGGCTCTTTAAGGTGTGCGCGGAACACGACGCGCCGTACGCTCGGGATATAAAACGCAGCTAGTGTTACGGGTCGCCGTAGGTAGCGGCGATTGCTTACCAACAGGCTGGTGATTCATCATACATCGTTTACTGTCTTCTTTAAAAATGCCCTGTGGGCTATAATGTGATCATTACAAATAATAAACTCATCCATTTATTACAATTTAATACTAGTTATACGAAAATTCTTAGACTAGCTGAACAATAAAGTATTAAGTTAAATAAATTTTAGAAACAAAGAGCAGAATATAAAAGTATATAATAAAACATGATTACCGATGCAGTGTCGTTTGCCAATACCAAAGGCAGCAAAGAGGGCAGGCTTCTCAAGTAATGAAGAAATGCTAGGGTCCAACCAGCGCTCTGGTTTGAATTCATTTGCATCGGGACCCCAGAGAGGATGACGGTGGAGAGCATACACACCAATGACACAAGTGCTGTTGGCACGTAATGTACAGTTTTCTGGAATGTAATAGAAAACATCTATACAAAAAAAAGAAACACAAACCAAACGTAATGCAAAGTGTAGTTTTGAAACCGTGTCTTTTCTCGGGGGTATGTCACTGAAGTCATAAAGGTATAATGTAAGAGAATGTTTCGGACCAATAGTTAAAAATACGGCTATAATAAATTGTTTAAGTTCGACAATATTTCAGAATAAACGACAGCAATGTTTCTTATTGGAGTTTTATTTAATTAAGAATAATATCAATTACGTGTTTGAGTTTGTCTATATTAAGCCGCGTTATAAAGCTAGTTACAAGACGGCGGCTTGTAGTTCGCACTGACGGATTTCCGTAATTTACAGAAAAATGAAAAATATTTACCTACAATTTTTTTATTGATTCGGATTCGGAATCAATAGCCAAGTTACCTCCTAGAAAATGACGCGGCTTTAAAACAACACCTTGTATAGTCAATCGAAGGTTTTGGCCACACATTAATTGTAACTTAAAGTCAATCATAATAATAAGCAAAGAAGTTATAATTTTGTGTGGTATCAATTGTTAGAAGATATTCCAGAGCATCGCTATTTACATATGGTTCATTTCTGGATCTTATTCTCATTTCGTGCTCATTCTTTAATATTTGTTAGACAACTAGTTTCATTATAAATAAAAGTTACTCACTTAATTTAACATCCACATCAACTTTTCTCCCTATAATTGGAGTAGCACTGTGCAATCTCAACGTCTCTTTCATTACTGCCTCTAAGTAGACCAACTTCTGTAGATCATGTTTAGTAAAATCATCATCTTTGTTCTCCAGAACTTCTTGTATTCTGAAAAAGATTCCTTTTTTATTAGTATGCTACTTACGGAACATGAGTATAGATATATTATTATTATTCGGATCCGTATTACACTAGATCGGGAGTAAGCCATGGCAGTAATTTGGGGATTCTCGAATTTTTTATTACGATAAATGATTTACCACAAGTCGTCAAACATGGCTCTTGCTATTTGCAGATGACTTAAAGTTACTGCTAAAAAGTAGGAATGAAACAGACTGTAGTGTTTATAGGATGACATTGATAGGATAGTTCAGTAGAATCATAAAAACAAGCTATATTTTAACGAGTTAAAATGTCCAATGATAAATTTTACTCGCGCTCGTTCACCTCTGTACATGAATACAAGCTTGAAAATACACCACTGCAACGAGACACACAGGTACGCGATTTGGGAGTTTACATGACCCCCGAGTTGTTGTTCCGTGAGCACAAAATGAAAATTTGTAAGAAGGCGTCTAGAAATCTAGGATTTTTATTGAGACAAATGCGAGATTTCTTTCTTCCTTTCATATGGGCGCCTCATGAAAGTAAAAGGTACTATCTGATGGTAGAACGCGTTCAGAATAAATTCACTCGTCACTTGTATTGGAAGTTGTATGGAGTGTACCAGTTAAACCGTTGATGTATCCCTCATTATTTGTCTAGGGTATGGTCGGGTACAAGCAATTGAAGGTGCGTCGAGAGCTTATTCTTACCACTTATTTGGTGAAAATGAAAAGTGTGGGAGAGCCATGCTTGGGCATGAGTGCCTAGGAAACTAATCTAAACGAGTTCCTCGTCAAATAATTACGTGAATAAGCCGAAAAATATAACAATTGATTGAAACGATATAAAAACTTACTCATTATATATTCTGTCCTGTATTTCTGGGTAAGTTGCAATCGCCAGCAACATGTGGGTCATCGCTGAAGAAGTTGTATCATATGATGCTGCTACGAGAGTATCTAAGTGTTCTCTGATGTCTTCATCTGAGAAAACTCCATGATCACTTGCCATTTGAAGCATCTGATCAAGAATTGGTTTAAATTTACCTGAAAAAAGATATATTACATAACATACTCACTTACTTGACTGCCTCGGTGGCCGAGTGGTCGCAAGCGCGACTGCCGGGCAAGGGGTCTCGGGTTCGATTTCCGGATCGGGCAAAGCATAACTGGGTTTTTTAAAAATTCTCAGTTGTAGCACGGAATTGTGTCCCGTATATAGCAATAGGCGCACCCCCTATTACATGGGACTCGTAACATAAATAGTGAAAAGTGGGTGTTACATTGTACAGTGGCATAATGTGCACCTCTGCCTACCCTTCGGGGATAAAAGGCGTGATGTTATGTAATGTGTTTTTTATAATTTTTTTAAATGTCATTGTATATTTGGTGGCGCAATCTGATTGTGAAATGGCAGCAACGACTATCATAACCGAGGGTTGGGCTCGCTGTCATTGCAGTGTTAAGCCCTTTTTTTGAGGAGTAGCTTGAGAGACGTTACGGCGTCCTCAACTACCGCCTAACGCAGATGCTTACCGGACACGGAAGTTTTGGTAGATTCGTGTTTCGGATTGGGCGGGAGGAAACGCCCGGATGTCATCACTGCGAGGACCGCGCGGAGGACACGGTAGAACGTACAGTGGTAATGTGCTCTGCGTATGCTGAGCACCGCCGTGTCCTCAGGAATGTGATCGGCGAGGGCGACCTCTCGCGTACGGTTCTAGGTCAGACCATGATACATCTACCAAAGAGGACTGGGATGCCGAACCTCCTCACGTCGCGAGAAACCCTCTGGGCGTCGAAGGCAGCAAGGTGATCTTCGGCCACCGTAAGCACGGGCCTGCGGATAGTGAGAACGGGTAACTCGCCGGCCGTCCAGAATCAGACCCAAGCGTACGATGTATATTATGGTCCTGAGCGTAAGAAATAAGAGACTGTGGCTTTCAAAATTAGCGTCAGTTCATAAAAGTTATTATTGGCTTTCTCACTAATAGCCTTAACTCGTTGAGTACCGTTTTTTTTCAAAACTAAACCGATATAGCAAACAGACTCCTTTTGTTTTTCGGAAACGCTATTGAATTTATACAATAGCTGGTAAGTTTCATTGGGTGCAAAATTCAAGCGATTTCGTTCGCCCCATCGCAGGGTCCTACAGCCTTTAGCCAAATTCTCCAGTACGGCACGGGTATTGGACTGTACTGACAATAGGCCATCATCCGCATATCAAATCAAAGTACAGCCACAAAGAAGGGGAATCGCGAGCAAATCATCAAACCTTATGGAATTCACACCTTATGGAATTTAGGGTTTAGGTATAAGATCAATAACCAAACCCTGAGAACATTCCCTTAATAACGACTTCGACCAAGAACAATGGCAATAACCAAGCTTTAATCTTACAGAGCCCTCTGTTGTTGTTGTGGGCGGCGCCAGTGCTATTGGCCACCTATCACATAAAAAACAAAAAAATGTAGGCACACAAAGTATTAAATTTTATAATGATTGTGAAGTTATACTAATTAATTTAAATCACAGGTCTTGAAAATGGAGATATCACGCTGTATTGAGATTGAACTATCATCACAAACAGGACAATTGTTCCTAAGAAACCTGACGTTGTGATAATAGATCGATCAAGCCGTCGTTTAACGATAATTGTTTAGTTATTTCTCCCGTTATTGGTGGGCCACTGCATTTTATATTTTTAAGTGTGTTTTTTTTATAATCACACATAACCTCAAGCCTGTCGCCCATAGGGGTAGGCAGAGACTATGGAACGCCAATTGCTACGAATCTTACATAACTTTTTCGCTTCATAAACATTCATTGCTTTTACAATTGGATTTTATAATCATATATTTGAAAGTACATATAAATATACGTAGTATTGATCAAGGAGTATATGAAATAAATAAATGAAAAGTCATAATATTATATTACCGGGCCTTTCTTCATAATACGTAGGATCTCTTTTAGTCGACAGCTCCGATTTTCTTTTCAATATCAGCTGAAAAAGTTATAATAAGTTTATTATAAGTATCACAAGCCCTGATATCTAAAAAACAATTTTTAGGCACTGAATTCATATTAATAATTTGTTTTTATTCTAACACAAATTATTGAAAGTGCAGCTTAATATTTTATGTGCTATATTTATGTGTGTATGGTTGTCCAAGGAATACAACTCGTACCTCTACCAAGCCAAGTGTAAGCCAAAATCTACGGTGGAAGCCGGTTGGTTTATATTTTTTACATTTTTTAGGTGTATATTTATAACCATAAGCAATAAAACCTAAACTAATATTAGTGCGTCCCAGAATAGACTGTCTAGAATCTCAAAATGAAACAAGAAATTAATTATATCTCCGAGGAAGCAGAAAATCTTTTTATCACTAATTTTTTTTGCAAATGGTAGAATGACGCAATATTCTTCAAATGAAATATTATTAATTCAAAAACCAATGACGTACAAAAATATCTTACCGGAATCATAATGTTATGCAAAATTTTCAATAGTCGATCTTGTTTGCGTTTTATTTCGCTCCACTTAAAAATAAAATTGAGATGCAACCACACTTTTTGGAATCTGTCGCAGTACAGAGCAAATATGGAGTCGATAGCTGCAGCATAATCCGTGTCTATTATCTTTTGATCCTCATCAGTTAACCCAAGAGATGTTCCTGAAATGTAAACACATAATTTTTAGACAATTTTAATTTAAAACAAAATATTATTTCAGTGGTAAGCAAAATTCGATGACATACTAGACTTCTTAGTCTATAGCTAATTTGTAAAAGTTAAATTAAGATCATGCGTAAGCATGAGACACAGGGAAAAATTATGTATGTGTAAATTCTTACGGCTAACAGTTGATAGCGTGAAGCTGACTATGTGGCGCAGAACATCAAAAGACTTCTTGTCTAATTCATTTTTCAGATTTGAGACAACATTTCGTGCTTGAATATTCATTTCGTTAATGAATGTATCCAAAACTTGTTGATTAAAAGCAGGATTTAATAATTTGCGGTGCACTTTCCATGTGGCCGCTGAAAACAATAAAGTTTATTTCTTACAGAACATTCATTTAATTCGATACTTACCTAAATAATTGAGTGATAGTGACTAAATAATAAATAATGTATTCAGTCAATTTCATGAACTGCTTTGCTTATTTTACAATCTTTGCTTTCCTAAAGTAAAAATAAAAATAAATAACAAAAGGTATAATAATCAAAATTGGATCAGCAGAGGCTTAAAATAATTTTCCAAAAAAAAAGTAGGTTACGATATAAATATTATAAAAATAAAAATTCAAATAATAAAACGAAATATACGACATATTCCAATATTTTTAAAAATGCCTGCTCAGCCATAAAACTGAAATATAAAATATGTAGGGCCACATGGACACTAATTAAAAATAAAATAACGGTACAAATTGTATAGGCAACATAAAGGAAATTATAATTGACAACACAACAATAACAAATCCTATAAAAATTGCCACAGTTTTCAATAATAATTATGTCAATTTAACGCATACGAGTACCCAGAATGGCACGAAATCATTATCTCACATTAAAACAACCGGCAACTCGATGTTTCTAGAACCTACGGAGGAAAGTGAGGTTAAACAACTGATAATATCATTAGCTAATTCTAATTGTGTGGGCTATGATGACATCAATGCTAAAGTTATTAAAAAATGCGGAAATATATTAACTCCTATATTAACACTTTTAGTCAATGTATCTTTTTCATCTTGAACTTTTCCTGATGCCCTCAAATACTCAATAGTCAAACCTTTATATAAAAAGGGCGAAAAATCTGACATCAATAACTACCGTCTAATAACGTTAATTCCCATATTGTCCAAAGTATATTATGAAAAATGTATGTATAAAAAACTAATTGACTATTGCGATACATTTCATATAATTAGCAAAGAGCAGTATGGTTTTCAGGAAAATAAGTCTACTACATTGGCAATATTTTCTCTTGTAAAGGCTATAGTTAGTATCAAAAACCTTGAACAAGTTGGCATTACTTGAACTAGTTGGCATTTGCCAGTTTTTCGAAAAACTTGAACAAGTTGGCATTAGGTAACTAATTCAAATTCAAGATTTTCGAGTCCTACACTTCAGTGGAAATACTCATCATACCTAAGTAACAGACTACAATGTGCCATCATTGATAGAGTAGATGACAGACAGAATAAGGTACCTTTTTCTTTAGAATACAAGCATAATAAATATGGTATACCACAGGGAAGTGTACTGGGCCCTACTTTCTTACTGTACATAAATAACATTATTAATATAACCAATCACAAATGTATATTGTTCGCTAATTACATTAGTATTATCATATCAAAATGTAATAATGGTATAAATAATCACAAGAATGAAATAAATAACACTATAGAAAAATTAATACAAAGTCTCGACACTAATAAATCATAATAAATCTGTATATATCAACTTTAATAATTGTAATAATTTAAATAATATAATATTAAACTGAATATGTCCAAAATTAAAGAAGTGGCGCTAAAAAAGTTTTCAGGCATTATAATAGATGAGTATTTGAACTGAAAAGAGCATGTACACAGTGTTTCAAAGAGTATATAATTGTTTTTTGTAACAAAGTTAATTGTAACAAAGAGTTTCAAAATTTATATATGCTCTCAAACAACTTAAAAACGGCTGTTATGACCTATCGAGCATAATTATGTGGAATCACTACTGCGCTGTGGGCTCATAATATGGGGAAATAACACAGACATACATCGAGTTTGTGTTGCTCAAAAAATTGCATTAGACCAATGTTCGGTATGCGTAAGGAGGACTCGTGTCAACCCATATTTAAAAAACTAAATTAATTGTTACCATTGCCATCCCTCTATATATATGAAATATGCATGTTTGTTAATAAATATTAAACTTTCTTTAAATCAGTCAATGATGTTAATCCCAGGAACCGGCGTGACCCACATAGACTGGTTCTAGATGATACTGCCGAGAGAAGTCGTTGGAAGATTTTCCCCTTATTAAATATAGCAAAAGCTGCTTATGTAACTGTGTTCCTATATATAATAAGATACCGACTGATATAAAAAAATAAATTCTAATCTAAAATTTTAATTTAAGATCAAATTGCTTGCTTGGTAGAATACGAATAATTTCTATTGTCTTAAAGAATTTATCGAAAAAGAATTTAATACTATGTATATGTAAGCATAAATATCGTATAAGAAATATTTTTAGTTTTATCAGTACAAGTAAAGCTAGATCTATATATCTATCTGTCTAAATATACGATGTATACTGTATACGTTATTGCGCAATATCTGAAATATACTCATATCTTAGTGTATTTTTGGTTTTGTACAAAGAAACAGAAATATGTTTCTTATTTTTCAGTATTTTACTCTTCTGTCTACTGAATAATAAGAGACAAAAACCCTTCCTTCAGTCGGGTAAAAAAATACTTTTAGGCATTCCATATTCGCTATAGCAAAATTAACAATAAAACAACTCTAATTTTGTGATTTGAAACTTACCGTCTGCTGTAATTAATCCATTGTTTATGAAGTCCTTTGCAAAGTCATAGATGTAAGATTTACTATAACATGTATTGACCAGTTTAAGGCAATCATCTGGATCGGTTAAAACTGAAATAGTTAATATATATTAGTATAATGATGTGTATTACGTACCTCATAGAGCATGGTTCTAGGTCGTGCCGTAACAGGAGTTGCACCATAGGGGGCTTCGGAGCATGTCTATTAGAAGACCCGATGCGGGGTCTAAGCGAATATAATAATTTTTGTGTGGTAAGAAGCCCACGCTCCCTAGTCTTTCTCCCCTGGTGCTTTTTCAAAGTTTCCCTCCGTCATCAAAAATAAGGTCATAGGTTTACCGAATGAATAAAGTTTTTAAACGGTGTAGATGCAAAAGAAAAAGAGTTGCGTGTTTTTTTTAACGGTTGTCCGTACTCAGTTTTTGCAAAGCTTAGTTTTTTAAGTCTTTATTGATGTTAATAAAATAATTGTACAGTTTAATAGTTATGAAAACCTACGATATTTAGCGAGAGATTTGCGAGATATAAATTTAAAAGCGACAAACATACATTGGACAGTAATACCCAAACCATCGAAACTACCTGTACTTTCTTAGTTATCTTTAACCTCGTTTAAGAGGGAAGATTTCTAAAATCATTAAGTATGATGCAAGTACTTTTCTTTTCATTAATATCTGGTTTTTCTTACCATAATGTCTCTTTATGCCAAACCATACTTCTGTAACTCCGCCATACTTGAGTGATGTTAAGGTAAAGTGTTTTATACAATTCCAGAGATCTGTAATATTACAGTACAACAAGTCAACAAAAATCTAAAACCACACGTTTGATGTTTAAACATGTAGTGACCCACTTTAGGATTTTCTTTTGTAAATTCAATGAAAAAATAAAGTTAAATGATATTAACTCACGTGTACGGTCTCCGATAAGATGATGTGAATGTCCTATTATCGGGAGAATACCTGGCATCAAAGGAGGTGCATCAGGTTTCTGCCTGAACCATGTAGTCCACACAGCGAGCACCACGAAACATAACAACACCAACCCCACTGCTATGTACATTGTCAAGGTCTAACCACGTTCTGAGCCCGATTAATTGGAAATCGCATATTTATGTACAAAGCTAATCTATACATACTAATATGATAAAGAGGAAACATTTGATTTTTTTGTTTGTTTTTTTGTTTAAACTGGGTACTTTTCATCATCAAAAATAAATAATTTCGACTGTTTGATACAAAAAAAATATTAAAAAATAATCACACGTTCATTAATTGATTTTATGATCAACTTAATTTTAATATTTTTCTGGTAAATTTTAAAGAAATAAGTATGCTGTTTGACGCTAAAAATATTTTTTTTCGTTTTTGATAATTCGAAAAAAGTAATGAATTTGACTTGTTGACCCAATTGACTAGGCTCCGAAACTACAGGCCCAATTTCAAAAAATCTTTTATTGTTAGAATCCACCTTTTTAATTTGCTGAATTACTAACTAACTAACTGTTACCCGCGACTTCGCCCGCGTAGAATAATGACTACTGGCAAAGTTCAGGATTTTGAATGAGGGATTCCAAGGTACATTCCACGGTAACAAATGTCGTCAGAATTGATTCGGTACCTAGGTTATATTTATTGCAAAATTAATATATTTTCGTGATCATCATCATCAACAGCTAAAAGACGTCCACTGTTACACAAAACCGATTTCAACAAAAACTAAAGATAAACGAAAAGTAAAACTGGTCATACGTACTTATAGCTTACACACCCACTGATAGATTAGAAGTCCATCGAAAATCAAAAACTAAACTATACTTAAATGTGTAACAATCGTTTATTTTGTAGGTTTTTCATTTCTGGCAGATAAAATATAAACAGTAATACGATTCCTAAGATCATAGCCAACGTTCGAGCGAAACCTTAATCATAATTTGATAAACTTTGTCCAGCTTCTTGTTCTATTGAAAATTACTTTACACTCTAAATAACAATTCGGAGTTGGTGTCTGTGAGTGGAACATGTGTGAAAGAGCCATGTTTTGGCACGAATGGGCCGGCTCGACCGGAGTGATACCAGTAAACCGACGCGCGACGTGAAACAACGCTTGTGTTGTGTTTCGTCGTGTGAGTGAGGTTACCGGAGGCCCAATTACCCTCCCCTTCCCCAATCTTCCCAATCCTGAATCCTCAACGATCCTCAAAATTCTAACGCCCAAAGGGCCGGTAACGCACTGATCTTCCAGGTGTCCATGGGCGACGCCGATTGCTTACCATCTATGATTGAGGTGATTCCTCTGCTCATTTACCGGCTGATGCCATAAAAAAAGCTCGAGCTCCACTCCGAATTGTTCTATGCATGTTTAATGTCGCGGAGAACCTAACGGGTTACCGGGGCTCCGGCTCGACGTGCAGGAGAAGGAACGGGGTGGTTTTTAGTCAGTAAGAGTCTGACACTCCCTTCCGCCTCACCCAGGCGGGAGCAGTAATTCGATGATTTTCCCCCTTAAAAAAAAAAAAAATGCATGTTTAATAAACTTCTTTTAAGTTTTATTCACTTAAATAATTCCAATCTAGTACCATTTTAACAAAAAATATTCGCAAAACAAACTCCATCATGGTTAATGACTCTCAACGTTTCTTGCCATAGTTTTAATGTTGTTTGTTCCTCAAATATACATGGTCATTCTTAAATAGACCAACTGTAACTGAAAATATTCTCTTGATGAAATTATTGTAATTATGGATGTCAACCTCTTTGTATCTTTTTTTTATTTTTATTTTTTTAAACGTTGCCTCACACTAGGATTTTCTCCTGTGTCGTGGGTGCGTTTACAAACATACAATTTCACATACACATGACACCCAGACCCGGAACAACAATTTGTGTATCACACAAAGTGTTGTTCCGTGCGGGAAACGAACCCGCGACACGTTGCACGGCAGCCGGTTGCCGGTTGTTGTATGTACATACAATATTTACTTATGTATTATGTCAAGAACAAAAATGAAAGGCACTCACTGATTCGGGAACTCAAATTTAATGTGTTAGATGTTGAACTAGTTCAAACTATTTTATATAATCCTAAAACTGAAATAGTAAGAAAATTATGTAATTTGGCAAGGATATCTAATCAGTAATCAATGATACCTACCTTTGTTGGCTTAGTTGTAAATATACTTAAAATTTTAATGTGTATTCATATTATATAAGGTACGATGGGGTTGACGTATCCACGATAAAAACCCTAAAAAAATAAAGAATTAAAAAAAAACCTCTTTGAATAAATTGATGTTAACAAGATAACAAAAATAAAAATGTCAATAATCTATTCACTTAAATTATCAAAATTATTTTATATCTTTGCTAGGTCTCAAATATGAAAAAAAAATCTATTTCACCTTTGAGATGCTCCTAACATTTTGCTTGTAAAGTCACTGTCAAGATATAAAATGTCAGCATAACATAACATTGCTGGCCCATTCGTGCTGAAGCATGGCTCTCCCACTCTTAAAACTTTCTGCTCGTTCTTCTCCATAGGAATCCTCGCTTTGGAAGTAGATTTACTAGAGGACTAAATGAAAGACTGAAACTTTTAAATGGACACGATCAAAAGTGGCTTCCTGGTCTAATTGAAATAAATGACTTACGTCCGAATACTGAAAGAGGGAAAACAATTGAATTTCTTACATACCTATTTACACAAACAAGGTAAACTTTTTGAATGTGTGGCATTGATAAATATGATTTGTATTATATGTTGGACTTATATTTCATGCTATATCTATCATTTTACAAAGAAATTGTAGTGACAGAAGTATATTCAAGCGTGACTCAAAATTGAATGACGTGTGAGTATTTCCACATTTGACTTTAAGAAATGATCAAGAAACAAACTTATTAACGCTGTTACTTTTTAACAACATTTTTTATATTATACCTACGACCTAATTATGTATATAAACGAAATAAAAATGTATGAAATGACGTCTTAAGCGATCCCAAAAAGGCCTACCTGTCAAACCGGTCTTATAATTTTTGAGTAGAAATAGACATAAATTTTTTAAATTTTATTATTATTTGCAAAGGACAGCTGGTTTCAGATGGCTGGTTCTAATTAGATTTTTCTAATTAGATCCTGATGGATCTAATTAGAAAAATATTCAAAAAACTAAAGAATTAATTGAAGCAGCTATCAAGCTGCTTCAATTAATTATAAAAATAATATTGACATTGGAAATGTGTAAAAAGTTAGATATTTAAATTTTACAACATCAACATTTAATGTTAGAGATTTTTAAAAACCCGGTAATAGTTTGCCTAACCCGGTAATCGAACCCGAGACCCCTTGCCCTTGAGAGATTGGAATTCAAATGGAGTTTTAATCACTGGAACCTTACGTGAATGGATACTATACGGTTAAAATAGACATGGGATTGTTTATTTTTTGAAATCATTAAAATTAACAATATTTCACAATAAATACAACTGAATCGATGCTGATGAGATTTGTTTAATACCATTGGAATTAACCTTGGAAAAGACTAATTAAAAAAATCAAAATTTGCCAGAAGTCATTATTATACGCGGACAAAGTCGCGGGGTACAGAACCCTACATTATAGAATGTTATTCAATTATTACATTAATTTATTATTTAGTCAACTTTAATTTTATAGACAATATTAATCAGATTATTAGTAAGTAGTCAAGTTGTACAACACTGTTCAAATTATTAACAATGGTCAAATACGTAATGATGAAGTCTAAAATAAAAAATAAATAAAATCAAAACTCATGAATATAAACCAAACATATACATAAAATTGTTATACGTTGAATATTGAATATCCATTTACTATCAGTTGGTCAGAATGTAGCTATTCCAAGGTCTTTTCATTTAAATAATCCTTTATTGTGCCTTATTTATCAAGAACTGCTTTAGTTTTAGTTTAAAGAGATTGATAGCTGAAATATTCTTAATACTGTTTGGTATCTTATTATAAATTTTCTCTAGATTTAAATTAAATTGTCCTACATCTAATTCCTGATACTTCATTTTTTTGTCGTGTCATCATCAACAGCTTATAAATGCCCACTGCTGAGCAAAGCCTCTTCTCACACGGAGAAGGTTTGAACATTAATCACCACGCTTGCTCAATGCGGGTTGGCGATTACAAACTTATAATTAGAAATTATAAGCCCAGGTTTCCTCACGATGTTTTCCTTTACCGTTTATCAGTGGTGTCTAAATAATCTTAGAAAGTACATATAACTCGGAAAAAGTCACATTGGTACTTGCCGTTGGTAGGGTTCAAACCCGCTTTCTCAAGCATGAGAACAGAGAAGCCAGCGTCTTAAACCTCCGGGCCACCACGACATTTTTGTCGTGTACTTCTAAGTATTTCATATTTGTTGATATCGTTTTTTATCATTATTGCGGCTTCATAGATAAATAAGGAAGGCAGAGTTAAAATTTTTAATCTCCTGAACACGTCTTTGCAATGTGTACTGTTCGGCGGCATTTTGCTCATAAGCGCGTAAATATTTTTTTGTGGGATATTGATTTATATTTTTTATTTAGTTCGTATTATATCATAGATTTATGTTTTTTAAACTATCATGAAAGTAACTTATTTTATTAGTAAGTATGTATATTTCATTTGTTTTTTGTTTTTAGGTATAAAATAACAAAATGTGTGACCAGCAAGATTTCCAAATCCTTTCATGGCTAGAAGGACCTTCTGATGATAACCCTTTGTCAGATTTGGAAGACGAGAACCGCGTAGATGCCATAGAAAGTGACGGGCCAAAAGGCAAAAAAGATTGTCCTTGTATTATCATCATATATATCATACTTCACGATGATGATAAAATAGATCAGGCAACAGGCGTAGAAGCTAAACCAGAAATGGTTGCGTTTTATAATCAGACGAAAGGTGGAGTGCGTTTATTTCTAAAACAAATGGCGCTGGTTAAATCACAAATATCTCGCCGAATATGTATGTATATATATTAAATATATCATCTGATCTCAAATTTATTATGACGCGATTTGTACCAC